TGTTGAATGTTTGTCTGTGATTTGTGCATATCGAGATCCTCGTGGGTTCCATCAGAATCCAAAGTAGGGTCGGGTATGGATAGGACAGGCACGGTAGTGAGTCTCCTCTTTAACTCCTGGAAACTCTCGTCGCACTGAGGACTCCAATCAAACCTCACTGCTTTCTTCGTAAGGTTGGTCAGTGGCTGGGCTATGCTCGAGAAGCCCTCGATAAACCTCTTGTAGTATCCTGCTAACCCCAGGAAACTATGAACATCTACAGCACTTCTTGGCGTATCCCATTTGCTCACAGCCTCAATCTTGCTGGGATCCACCTCAATGCCTCGAGCTGTCACAATGTGGCCAAGGAATGCCACACGGTTCAGCCAGAACTCGCACTTCGAGAACTTAGCATACAACTTCTCGCAGCGAAGAGTCTCCAACACAATCCTCAAATGCTCCTTGTGCTGATCGATGTCTCGGGAATAGACCAGAATGTCTTCGATGAACACAATGACGAACTTGTCCAGGAAAGGATAAAAGACCCTATTCATAAGGTCCATGAAAACGGCTGGGGCATTGCTAAGTCCGAAACGGCATGACTACGAACTCATAGTGGCCATAGCGGGTACGGAAAGCAGTCTTAGAAATATCCGACTCCCAGATCTTCAGCTGATGATAGCCAGAACGCAAGTCAATCTTTCAGAAGATGCTGGCTCCTCTCAGCTGGTCGAAAAGGTCCTCAATACGGGGAAGGGGGTACTTGTTCTTGACTGTAAGGGCATTCAACTCCCGATAGTCAATGCACATGCGCATAGATTCGTCTTTCTTCTTTACGAATAGGACGGGCGCACCCCACGGCGAGACACTCGGACGAATAAAACCGAGCTTAAGAAACTCCTGGATCTGGGCCTTGAGCTCTTGAAGCTCCTTCGGCGCCATACGATAAGGGTCCTTAGAAACGGGGCAGGCTCCAGGAATTAGGTCAATGGTGAACTCCACCTGGCGGTCTGGCGGTCCTCCGGGTAAGTCATCAGGAAAGACGTCGAGGTACTCGCAAACAATAGAGACTCGCTCGGGTACCCGCTCATCAACATCGTCGGATACCATGGAAACAAGATAGCCTTGACAGCTACCCCTGGAAAGGCTCTTCCTAGCTTGCATAAAAGAGATGACCCGAGGCACAGTCCTCGAACTCACCCCAAAGAACACAACAGGCTGATCGGAAATGGGATAGAGCGTGACTTCGCGCTTCTGGCACCAGATATCGGCTCGGTAACGGATGAGCCAGTCCATGCCCAAGATCACGTCGAAGTCTTGCATATCAGTTACATAGACGTCGGCCTCCAGAACTCGACCACCAATACAGATAGGAATATTGCGAACCACTGAATCAGAGATAATAATTTTCCCGAGGCCAAACTAACCTCGAGAGGATCACAAGCATGCACAGTGCTAATAGACAAGGCCTCCAAGCAACGAGAAGAAATAAAAGAGTGGGTAGCACCGGTATCACATAAAGCAAAAATAGGCACATGGGATATCGAAAGCATTCCGGACATGGTACCTGTTGCGAGCGGCCTCATCATGGGTGATGGTATAGACTCAGGCCTGACCCCCAGCCCTCTGCTGGAATGGC